CTGTTCAGCTAAAATCCAAGAGGGACTGAGACAAAATAAATTTCCTGAGAAAGAAACTAACCAAGCCATCAGGATTTACTCAAGCTACACTTTGAGTTTCAAAACGGCAAATGAGAGGCCTCCCATACTCCAAAATAAACAAATTGGCCCCTAGAATTCCTATTTCTGGTATCAAACTAGGCCCTTGACTAACAGGGTTTTCTAACTGCAAACGACTCACTAATAAGAGCTACCACTTTTGCTCTGCTATGCCAGCCACTTTACATAGATTCTCTCTAATCTTTACTACCATGACACATGGGCATTACAATTACCATTCTACAAACAAGAAAATTGAAACTCAGAAAGATTAAGTTATTTGCGAAAAAAATCTAAAGGGTTTAAACTTTGGGACAACGTACTGACCGAATTAGAGAAACTAACCACACTTGGATCCTTCTGTTTAACTCTAGAAAGCCAAGAGCCTCCCTCCACTCCTTTCTCTAACGGAGCCGTAGTACAGGGGTCACACTGAGGTTCCACAGACAAGTTTGCTTTCTTGGCTGAACCAAAGCTTGGGCCGAGACGAGTCAAAAGTTAAGTGAGATTCTTAACAATATTCCCTAGTGATTCTACAACTCTGATCACATTCCTTAAGCCCCATCACTGTTTCCCTGCCTTCAGCACACCTGTCTGATAAGCTGTTTCTTCTTTGCCGACTCTGGCATATTGTGAACGTGTTGGAACAGCTCTTTCAGTGCCTCCTCCGTACGCTGCTGGGTCTCCTCCTGATGAGAGCAGGAATCTACCCGGTTCCAGTTGTGAGATTTTGCCAGTTGGAAGGGCTTAGAATGACATGAAACTGTCAGATCAAGATCATCCTACAGAAAATTTGAAAGAAAAGTAAATTAATATATCATCCTACCAGCTTTGTTTTCAGGTTCCTACAACCCTGGAACAAAAAGAGGGGTGGAGGGTTGGGGAAAATGATAGTCTTATACTCAGAAACAAGAAAAATCTAAAAGCTATTACAGATATAGAGAAACCTATAATTATACACTATATTAATAGCTCACTCCCATGACCTGCCCAGAGAACCTAAATTCATTTAGAAAATTGCCACCAAAAGTTATATTTATATAAGAGTTCAGTTTTCAAAGCATCTTTTAATCTCATGTAATTTTCACTGCTATCCTACAAAATAATCAGGGAAAGTATCATTATTCCCATTTGATAGAAGGAAAAATTGAAAATAAGCTATAAGTTTAAATTCCTCTAGACACTAAAGTGACAGGCCCATCTTGGAGCCCAAATGCACTGGTTCTTGGTTGGTACTCTTTCCCACACGTGACAACATGACAACATGATGTGACACGGCACTGGAAGAGCACAACTCTCTAAGAAAACCCACACCCCAGTTAAAGAGTTGAAATCAAATACTGTTTTCCTTGTGAATACAC